TTTTGTGTAGAAAATTAAGTTTCAGTGGTTTCGTAGGTTTAATGCAATTCAGAACTTGAGTTCAGGTGCCAAATGATAATGTGTTGATAATTAAGATCATTACCTATTTCTCTCGTTTTAGTCAATTTTATGATTTAAAGTCATTATTGTTTTATACCATAACTTAATATAATTATCGATAACACAAAAAATACTGAGCCTTTACTTAATGTACTCTTTACTTATATTCACTTCACGTTTCCAATCAAATCAAAATATACATGAACGAGGGTGACCAGAGACATATTGCATCATATTCAGCTTATGCATTTCTAATACACCATACATTAATGTCTAATATATATTTATTAATATGTTTAGTCAATTAAGAGAATTTCCACATTAAATGTAAAACAATATTTTATGGTATTAATTAAAAAATAGTCAAAAAGTTTTAATTCATTCCAAAAAACCTAATTCTTCATAAGAATTAGTGTATAATGTATTTGCATTTGAAGAGTGTTTTGCCAGTGTTTTAGAGGCAGTGAATTCTTGCCTCCCGTTGTAAACACTGGTTATCCTAATGAATGTGTTAATACATTAATGTGTACTTTATATTTAATTAAAACAAATTTCCTCTAATAATTTACTAAATTGACTACTTTTGCACTTTTAAGCCATAACTTGACGGCGGATCCGACGCTCCTATCAAAGACTGGGTTTTAATTTTTGCGTTAAATTAATTATTTGGGATAAAAATTCGCTCATAAAGAGTGTGAGAGAAGTAATAGTAGTGATAGTGGTATAGAAGAAGACGGATAGGAAGGATAGGCAATGAAGTCCAAGAGTTTATCTAATCTGCGAACAGCACTCCGTAATGACAATACATTTGAATCGGTTTCCATTTGGAGGGAACAGAAATCGTTAATTCAGGTGAGAATTAGTGTGCGTTTAGTTTTGTGTTGTTTTTTCATTGTGTTTCAAAATGAAAGTAAAAATACTGTACTTTGCTTTAAGTAGAAGAAAATGAAACACAAAGACTAAAAAACCAAAGACTAAAGAAAATATTGTTTTTTCTTATTTTCCTCGAATGCGAATCAGAAAAAGAAAGAATGAAAAAATATAACTAAAAAACAATTGAATTTTCATTCAATTTCTTTCAGCAAAGTTTAAATTTTCTGCGCAAACGTAAGATCGAGAGCGAAGGGAATGGGAAGACCGGAGACGACCAGTCCATCAATGGTAACGAATCGACGGATTCCTCTTCAATATACGACGATATCATACAATCGGACGGCAAATCCAAACGATTGAAAAATTTGTCTTCAAATGTGACCCGAAAACGGAAGAGCGCTGTATGTCTTCACCGCTATTCTCTCTCTCCCTCTCAAAACCAAATACATCTCATTTATTAAGTTATTATTTTTTGATGATTTGCCGCTTTTTTACTAGTAATCAGTTTTGTTAAGTAATATTCATTTAAATCATAAAATCGTAATTTTATATTATATTAAATATATAGTAAATGATACTCAATGCAAGTTTTAATCTAAATTAAACAATTTTTTGCTTAACTAAACTAAAAGTACTGCCAAAAAATAGTGCAGATTTGCTGACAATTTTATAATTTTATTTATTTGTACAGATTTTGAAAATTTACAAATCATTTACTTCTCAATAAGTTAATAAGATATGAAAAAACATAATATAATAGTTTTAAATGTGATTAAAGCTTTGTTTTCTTTCGTCGTCTGTCAGAAAAATATTATTAAATAAATAAGGATTTAAATGTCATATAATTTTGTTTTAGAAATCAATATAAATGAAAATATAAACGAATTAAAGATAGAGTAAAACTATTTTTAAAGCGTTTGAATTTAATTAGATTTTTGCATAAAATTTTTCGTCAAAAAACATTTTCCGATAAACATTTGCAATAACAGTGAAAAATCATTGAAAATGTTTCCTACGATTTTGTAATTAAATTAAAAACAATTTAAATTATTTATTATAAAAATAAATGCAAGAGTGTGTCAATAGAGAGACCAAACTTTTGCTGCCTTTTTGTGTTAAAGGCTTTCGTTATGTTATGGAAAGCAATACTACTGTAGGTTTCAATCTTTCAAATGTTTATTATATATTCAATGGAGAAAAATCTTACTCCTATTCAATACAATTTGAATATCAATGAAGTCGAGTGTTTTTATGGGCTATTTTTAAACATTTAAATCCGACTTACACTACACATGATACTAATTTTGAATTAAACCAATCAATTGATGTGAGAAAATTTAACGAAAATTATAGTAAAACTATATGTTTTTCCCTTAAAATTCATTGTTTTTATATGTGAATGCATTTTATCACAAATTTAATTAGATTTCTTCTCTAAAAAATCATTTTTATTTTGACAGTAAAATTATTATTTTTAATACTTTAATGTTTTTATAGGCTTAAAATGCTGTTTAATAATGACATTATTTAAGATTTTTATTATTAAATTTCTCTATAGTATAAACCTTATGTTGATTTTTTGTTATGATATTAAAACTCTTCAAAATATTTAATTAAATAATTAAAAACCAAAATAAACCGAAGAAACAAAACTGAATTAAATTGTTTGAATGAAATGTTTTTATAAATAATTATTTGGTGTCTTTTGGGCTACAATTGAGACAAACATTTATCTCCAGAATATATATATACTGTTATCAAACGCTTCTTTCATTTACTCCAAGAATTGTCAGAATTAATAGAATATTATTTATCTTTGAGTTTATTTCCTTCTTTTATCTCTCATTGAAATGAATTAATTATTAAAATGCAATTTCAATGAAAGATTAATTTTGTATATCTTGTGCTCCTGTGTTGAGGTGAGCGCCAGAGAGCGGAACTTAAGACGTTTGGAGAGCAATGAGAGAGAAAGGATGCGAATGCATAGTCTGAACGACGCCTTCCAAGGGCTCCGAGAAGTGATACCACACGTGAGACTCGAGAGGAAACTGTCCAAAATTGAGACCTTAACGCTGGCCAAGAACTACATCATGGCGTTGACTAATGTGGTCTGCAGTCATCGCGGAGAGACCTCTCCCTACGAGACCAACGCATGTGTCGCCTCATCCGCTTCCGGCGGCACCTCTTCTGACGACGGCGTCAGCAATGATGACAGCATTACCAACAATGACAACGACAACGAAGGTTAGCACCAAAACAGCTGCCAATACTTTCTATCAATTCATATGACACACAATTCTTACTATTTAATAGCAAATTAAATAAACATTCAATTTGCTCTCTCTCTCTCTATCTCTCTCTCTCTCTCTCTCTCTCTCTCTCTCTC